TGCCCACAAAATAGAGACTCAGATTGCGCTCAAAAATAAGGTAATTGGGCGGATAGCTATGGGTTAGGTTCACAAACTCCCGGATCCGGCACTCGGATACACAATCATAACGTGAAGTAAACCCTATATCCCGGTACTCAACGCACACCGACTGGTAAGGTGTGGGCAATAACTCGACAACGGTTTTCTGGTACTCGATACTATAGTACTGATAATTTATGTCGAAATACTTGTAGCCAACTTGTTCCGGCTGACTTAGGTGCATATAACTGGGTTGGATGTGTAGGATCAGTTCATTATCAAACGTGTTATTAGCCAGGTTAATTAGACAATCATCGACTTGTCGTTTTGTGGGTTTATTTGAGATTTTGTACAATTTAGTGGACTCTCCCTTAAATTGTGAGAATAGAGTCATACAATAAAAGTTATCACTAATAGAGTACAGATATGGTGTTATGTCTGAACACTCGGTGTAGACATTGCGGACCCCATTCTCCGGGTGTAGGAGCGCATTAGGGGTACGTACCGTACAATTAATACCCTTCATATCGTTAGGAAACCCTAATATATCAAATTGCTCAGCGATTGTCCTATTATTTAAATACAGGTATTTAAATATCATCTCGGAACTCGTGTCCTCGTTAGTCCATGTGTTGTAAAATGATTGGTTTTGAATGAGGTGTTCATCCAAATAGGCATACTTTCCCATACATAGTGTTATTTGTGGCAAATGTATGGTTGACTCGGTTTCATACTTCACGTCAGTAATGGTTTCGTACGCAAAGTAATGTGAACTTAAATCCGATAATTGAGTCATACATCCAATTAGACATAAGATTTTTGCTATAATTGCAGTGTTTGGAAACTTTTTTGTTATGAGCCTGAACATATTTCAATCAAAATAATAATTTTATTTTACCTTAGCTTCACTAAACATAAAACTAGAATATTCAATGATTTTCTATATTTTGTTATTCATGATATATTTGCATTATTCCATAATACCTGTATTTTAATATACCATAAATTATTTGTTAATAAATATTTATTTTAGTTTACTTTAATTTCACTAAACATAAAACAAGAATATTCAACAATTTTCTATATTTTGTTATTCATGTTATATTTGTATTTTTCCATATATTTTAATATACCATAAATTATTTGTTAATAAATATTTATTTTTAATCTGAAAACATAAAAACTCATAAACATGTATTGATTACGCGTTATTCAAATATACATAATGCTTATTAAATGTATTTATAAAATCATTTAATTTAAACTATAACATTTCTAACACATTATTTAAAATTATATATTAAAATATTGTTTAAATAATAATACTTTATTATATTTGTATGAACGTTTTATGAGTTAAGAAAATAAAATGAAAACAAAATTGTACTAGGGTTATACTTAAGATCGATTTATTGATTCCTTATGTTATAAATTCCAAAAATGATAACTAGAATATTTAAAAAATCATTATTAAAATACACAAAATTATTGAATTTGAAGTTAGTGCATTGAAAAAATGCAAAGATTATTATTATTAATATATTTATTTTAATTTCATATTATAATTTAAACAACAACATTAAAATACAATATAATTAATATAGCTAAAGCACGCTTACATATCGCACAAGATAATATTGGTATTATTATTAAATTTAATTTGCTTATCATTAATTTTATTTGCCCTGTTAATAATATTCTTATTATTTAATACATGAAAATGCATACAGGTTTTATACTCAACGTGTTTGATGTGATTGTAAACCTTTACCAAACTATCCATAAATAGATTAGTTATAAAAAGCAATGAAAACCCAAACCATAGGCTAAATATACTGCCGACTAATACAAGGAATTCTCCGAAATAAAACTTGGGTGTCATTCGGTATGACTGCACCGGGAGTGTAGGAAAATGAAATTTTAAGCTTTGTAATTTGTCACCGGTATCATTGAGTGTGTAACCATTATGGCCTACAATTTGATAATACTCTTGAATACATTCCTGATTCTGTACACAAATTCTGTTGCATTTATCGTTGAGATTCTGCGGAAATTCTGCGGACATATTGCCAATAAAATAGAGACTCAGATTGCGCTCAAAACTAAGGTAATCGAGAGGATAGCTATGGGTTAGGTTCACAAACTCACGGATCCGGCACTCGGATACACAATCATAACGTGAAGAAACCCCTATATCCCGGTACTCAACGCACGCCGTTCGGTAAGGTGTGGGCAATAACTCGACAACGATTTTCTGATACTCGATAGTATAGTACGAGTATTTTATGTCGAAATACTTGTGGCCCACTTGTTCCGGCTGACTCAGGTGCATATAACTGGGTTGGATGTGTAGAATCAGTTCATTATCAAACGTGTTATTAGCCAGCTCAATTAGATAATCATCGACTTGTCGTATCGTGGGCTTATTTGAGATTTTGTACAATTTAGTGGACTCTCCCCTAAATTGTGAGAATAGTGTCACACAATAATAGTCATCACTAATAGAGTACAGATATGGTGTTATGTCTGAACACTCGGTGTAGACATTGCGGCGCCCATTCTTCAGGTGTAGGAGCGCCTTAGGGGTACGTACCGTACAATTAATACCCTTCATATCGTTAGGAAACCCTAATATATCAAATTGCTCAGCGATTGTCCTATTATTTAAATACTGGTATTTAAATATCTTATCGGAACTCGTGTCCTCGTTAGTCCATGTCTTGTAAAATGTTTGGTTTTGAATGAGGTGTTCATCCAAATAGGCATTCTTTTCCATACATAGTGTTATTGATGGCAAATGTATGGTTGACTCGGTTTCATACTTCACGTCAGTAATGGTTTCGTACGCAAAGTAATGTGAACTTAAATACGATAATTGAGTCATACATCCAATTAGACATAAGATTTTTGCTATAATTGCAGTGTTTGGAAACTTTTTTGTTAAGAACCTGAACATATTTCAATCAAAATAATTTATTTTAGTTTACCTTGACTTCACTAAACATACAACAAGAACATTCAATAATTTTCTATATTTTGTTATTGATGTTATACAGTATTTGTATTTTTCCATAATATTGTACCTGTATTTTAATATACCATAAATTATTTATTAATAAATATTTATTTTATATCTGAAAATGTTTTGATTAAGCGTTATTCAAATATACATAATGAAAACTTTTATTAAATATTGTATAATAAATATTAAAATTAATTTTCTAAAGTGTTTGATATTTAAAAGATTATAAATAATTTTCTGGAAAAATACATAAATAAGTAAACTTGTTTGTAAAGCTAATGTAGCCAATGTACTTACAACTACTGTACTGATACTTTAATACTATGCAGTAAGTTACTGTAGTATACAGTACTATACAGTACTTCAAAATATTGTACAAGTGTGATACACATACAATATAATTAATAAAATGTTTATAAACAACTTAATTAAATAATGAAACACAAAAATCATTAGAAAATAATAATACAATTTAAAGTTATATTATGAAAATCAATTGTAAAACTTACATAATAACTTATTACAAGTATAGTACATAGTAGACTGTCGTGAAAAATACATGGTCGTGAGTGGCACAGGTAGGCAGTGGTGGGTTTAAGTTCATGAGCTCAGGTCTACCCTCATTCACGTAATAATCTAAATTTTATTTTATATTATTATTTTTAAATACTGTACCTTGAGTACAATATGTATGCCTATCTATTGGCTATGCTGATTATGTGTATTCTAGTAACCTTTAATAAAAATATAAATTACTATATTTATTAACTATTTATTGATACTTTTGCCAAAAGTATTGTGAAGAATGAATGAATGAATTAATTTGTAGAAATTAGTTTGTGTCTAATCTTATGACAATTATCCATAATCTCTTATATGAATATTCTGTTAATTTTTAAAAATTATTGAAAATGTTTATTAGAAACATAAATGCTGTCATTTTTCATTATATTATTTATTGATTGACACATTTCTTTGTATAGAAAACATTGAATAACTGAATCAATCGAGTTTTCATTCAACTGGTTTCTATAGTTATTAAAATTACGGCATTTGATACATTTATTGTACCGTAACATCATATTTTAAGGTTTACAATATCTGCAGACAGAATATCGTATTTTCAGTACAAAATGCACTTTAATTTCTAATGAATACAGAAAGTGTTGATAAAAAAGTGTATAATTCCTTATTTTTATCAGTATTATCAGTGCATTCTGTACTGGAAACTAATAGCAAGTCACTATTTCCTATTGTTTAGTTTTAATATTCATTATAAATATAATAATATAAATATTATATTATACATTTGGTAAGTATTGTCAAAATAAAAATATGAATTAGTATTTATTTTAATTTACAATATAAATTAACTGAATAATAAAATTTTAAAATGCCGCTCTCGAAAAGTGACCTAACACTCAATCTAAAACTTACATTTAAATTATCAGTGTACTAATGTACTCAAACATGAACTTATTAAATCATTGCGTCAAAAAATTATAAGTTATTAATAAATAAGAAATCTAAGTATTATATAAAACTGTGATTTGTTTTATTAAAACCTCATTACACAGTAACTAACTTTATAAATAAAGTGATTGAAATAATTTATTTTAAAGCGAATATTGTAATACAATCTGTAATTAATTATTTTTTCACTGCCTTAATAAATGAGTTTAAATAAAAACTAACACTAAGTTCATTTGAATTTAAGGTCGAAATGGACAGTATGTGGGTTTCGGATGTCATAAACACATTGACAGCGAACAGTGAAAAACTTCAGACAATTTTTGGCACAGTTTTAGCCACTTTTATGGCAATCAAGTTAAATTTGAATTTAAGGTCGAAATGGACAGTATGTGGGTTTCGGATGTCATAAACACATTGACAGCGAACAGTGAAAAACTTCAGACAATTTTTGGCACAGTTTTAGCCACTTTTATGGCAATCAAGTTATACAACCTCTACGACAACGATGAGTGTATTATACATGCCATTACTTATTATTGTAAAAAAATGCTAATACCTTTCCATACCCTTCCCTACAGTGACTCTAAAGTCTTTAAAACAGAAGTCTTTTCGACTATTAATTCGTTTACCATATCTGAGGGGAATGGCAGCCAAACAATTGTCAGATGCGGACAACACTATATCGGATACAATCAGAAAAATATTTGATTCACAAGAATATATCACAAAAATGCCCACAAATGGACTCCAATCGGACCAAATCGTGTCCAAATTGGATCAATACGCTACCATAGGAAAAGTGGACTGGATGAAAGGTCGTGCCTCAGGTATGTCACTAGAAAATACCCTACCCTACCACTCAAACACACATAAAATAGTCACATATATTTCTCTATAACCCTTAACCCCCTCCCACCCGAAGGCACCGTCTATTGCAACGCGGGCGACACATCCCTCACGAAACTGATGAGCCGGGTGTTTGACAAGACGGCGTACACCAATCCCCTACACCCGGACGTCTTCCCCGGTATCACCAAAATGGAGGCCGAAATCGTACGAATGGTATGCGATCTGTACAACGGGTCGGCCGACACGTGCGGAACCCTTACGTGCGGCGGAACGGAGTCTATAATACTGGCGGTGAAGGCGGCCCGCGATTACGGCCGACACACGAAGGGCATCACTCGCGCCGAAGTGGTGGCGCCCGTCACAGCCCACGCGGCTTTTCAAAAGGCCACACAAATGCTGGGAATGAAGATTAGGTTCATTGGTGTGGAGCCCAACACCTATAAGGCCGACCTCAGGGCCATGAGACGGGCCATCACCGGTAATACTGTGATGTTAGTGGGATCGGCGTGTAATTACCCGCACGGTATGATCGACGACATACAGGGTATCGCAAAAGTAGGCTAAACTTTTATCATCATTTATGAGATAAATATCTTAAGTGTTGTGTGTTTTGCTAATTAATAGTTAGGACTCAAGCACTGCATACCCGTCCACGTGGACTGTTGTTTGGGCGGCTTTCTGGTGCCGTTCATGTCAGCGGCCGGGTATGCCATCCCAGCCGTGGACTTCTCAGTGCCCGGTGTGACCAGCATTTCGGCCGATACTCACAAATACGGGTTCGCACCCAAAGGCTCGTCGGTTATCATGTATGCGCACAAGAAGTACCGCAAACACCAGTTCTCGGTGCAGACCGACTGGCCGGGAGGCATATACGCCACGCCCACTCTGGCGGGCAGCCGGTGCGGCGCCAATATAGCCCTGTGTTGGGCCACTCTATTGCACTTCGGGGTCGAGGGCTATGTGTCGGCCACCAAACAGATCATCAAAACTCAACGATACCTGAAGGCAGAGTTGGCTAAAGTGGAGGGCATTGAGATTATGGGCGATCCGCACATGTCGGTCATTGCCATACGCGCCCATAGGTTCAACATATTCAGGCTCAGGTATGCCGTGTTTGGGACTCAATTGATTCACTTCTTAAGTGTGAATTCTTACAGTAATTACATTATTATTTTGAACAGTGATATCATGTCGGAAAAGGGTTGGAGTCTAAACCCCCTACAGTTCCCATCGGCTGTCCACATATGCCTGACTCTAATGCACGCGCAGACAGGTGTGGCCGACGCCTTCCTGTCAGACATCAAGTCTGTGGTCATTGAGTGCCTGAAGACACCGGAAGAGAGTGGCGATGGGTTGGGAGTCATCTACGGTATGGCGCAGACACTGCCCGACCGCTCACTCGTTACAGACATCGCCTCCCATTATATGGACGGCCTCTACACCGCGTGGACTCACAATCAGAATCACAAATAAATTATTTTAATTACAATTAACTCTATTATTAGTAATAATTAATTAAAACTTAGTTAAATAAATCATACAAACATTTTTGTAAAACAATTTGTAATACAGTATTACAAGTATTTATAGTCAATAAACATTAAGTTTATTAATAAATGATTTGATAATGTTTTTAAAGTGCATCTATTTTTTGATTAATTATTTGCCTGCCCTATGGACAGGCGACCAAAAATTGCCGTATAGGCTCATGGTGTATGTCCACCCCCACGGTAATCTTTAGTAAAAGGCGAAAGATTATTACGTGAATGAGGGTAGACCTGAGCTCATGAACTTAAACCCACCACTGCCTACCTGTGCCACTCACGACCATGTATTTTTCACGACAGTCTACTATGTACTATACTTGTAATAAGTTATT